AATTCTGGCACATATTCAGTATTACTATGGAAACGACTGTTTCTACCAATTCACTGATAAGATACAGTTCAAGGACTCAGGTCTGTGTGGGAGATTTTTACCATCCACAAAATAGAATCTATTTGTTGCAATAGTAATTCATCACAACTGCTCTCTGAAATCTTAAATGAGAAATACTCCTTTCCTTTTGTGATTTTTTTTAACATAGGAAATGATACTTAAAATTATTTTGGTTTTGAAATGTGATATGCTAAATGATATATTAAAACCCAGGTTTAAAGTAGTTTTTACATTAGGTACTAATTTTCATAAGAGTACATAATGGCCTTGGTTACTTATGTGACACAGAATATCACAAACATCAAATATATACAAACTAGTTTTGAAAACACACACGCAGGAGCTGGAAGGCAGCCTATAATCAATGAACACATACAACAATTTAACTTCCCATCTTAAAATATTTCCACATAGTCCTACATGACATCACTGACATGACTCTGAGTTCCAGAAAGAATTGAAGCAACTCACCCCACTGTGGTGTTTTCTGTGGCCAATTTTCACTCCAAGTAGAGCCGCCATTTTTAACCACAAACAAATTTCTGCTAATTTTATACAACCCAGTTTCTGAGAGAAAGACCTCAGTGGTATTAGCCTAAGTTCCTGAATTTCCTCACTTTGAGTCAAAGCTCTAAAGTTTCACCTCCATCCTTTAAAAATGTGAGGTCTGCTTTCCCCAAAATCCTGTCAATCTTTATATCTTGGGGGGTGGAGGTGCTCCTTTGATCTTTTTATTGTTTCCAAAATCTTTCAAATACAGTCATCGGTCCTGGTTGATAAGCAATTCCTGATAATAGCGATAGAATTGTCTCACTTTTTTCCCAAACAAGCCAACTCATTTTGTTCTTTCAAAATAGGATGAACTGTTATACAATCAATTAATAAAGGGAGAGCTGATGATAATGGGCCCAGACCACACTCCCTCCATCTATCTGTGCCCGAGTGTGCAGAGGGTGGTGTAAGACATCCTGCAACCTTGGTTCAGCTCCAGAGGCAGGTGTTTCACAGAGGAGTCGGGGGTGGTAGGATTTAGGAACATCAGCAGGGCATGGGTGATCAGTGGGAATGAATTCAGTAACAGGGACCGAGTTCTTTTCCTGTACCTAAGCACCACAAGGGCTATTTAGACACCTGAATGCTACCATTCTTGGACAATTCTCAAATATAGGAATTATTGTTTCCACTCGATGGGTAGGGAAACTAAATATATTAAGTGATAAAACCAGATACAAACTCATTTCTCTTTGTTGAGCAAATATGTATTATTTTCAGTACCCCTTCAAAATAAGCAGTATAGAACTGCTTTTATGGAATTAAAAATGTATTAATACATCCTTTCAGTTTATTCTAACACACAGTTATCAGGTGAAAGGTTGCAAAATATGTTTGGACAGTTATACCTCAGAATAGCATAATAATAATCTTGATTGGATTCTAGATAGGACACAACCCTATCAATATTTCAGAAGGAGCCCTTTTTTAGAGAAACAAATGAGAAATTTATTTCATTCTACAGCTATAGATTTCAAAATAATCACATTGAATTATTTATATACAGCAGATATACTTTGAAAACATTAACATCACTGAATATAGATTGGAGCATATCATTTTCTAAAAAATTAATTGTTCATGGTAATTTTTGCGAAGTTGGGGGTATTTACTTTGAGGAAAAGGTTGTTCAAAAGCACAGAGTTAGAAGCACAAGCCATTCAAATAGGTCTTTTCCCACACTTGAGGACTGTATCATCAGTTCACGTATCACTAGGCTTTTAATTTTAGAAAGATTAATCCCAGAGCTGTACATTTTAAACATAGTTGAAGAACAGCAGAGCAAAAAGGTCATTCAGCCATGGGAATTCAGAGCCAAAGGACACTCAAGAAGTTCTTTGTAAATACTCCTCATTCAACTGCCCCAAATCTTAACATCCCTTATTTGACCATTAGGGAAACTATTTCATTAAAAACTTAATTTTAGGTTTATAGACTGGCTCCATTGATCAAACTAAAAAAGGCACTTAGGTAGTTCTGGTTTATTGTTATAAAAAATTGAATTAGCAATAATAGTAAATTGTTCATTAATATCTCTCAACATACTGTTGTATATTAAGCATTTACTAAAGGCAGTGCTTTAATGTATTTCACATTCATTGGATTTCATTTGATCCCATTTGTTGGGGTACACAATATCCATTTTAGAAGTGATTAAAATAAGTCTCTGAGAGATGAAATAAATTGCTACTGATTGCACAAGTAAGTGACAAAGACGTGAACCAAACCAGGCCTCTAAGTCTATGTGCTAGCTCTTAATGATTCGGGTTTGGGTAGCAAAGATGAAGCCACATCCCAGTCCTTCAATCTGCTTTCATTCTTACTATATTTCTGAGGGCAGTGAAGCAATGTGGACAAAGTTCTTGGTAACTCACAGGTCACAGGATAAGTGAAGTAAATCAGCTGTCCATGTCCACCAGAATAATGGTACTAACAAAAATGAGCATGGGACTCTCCCCATGAGTTCTCTGCGCTCCATTTGCAGTTTAGCGTATGAGACGGTCTAGGTGGTCTTCTTTTTCCCCAGTGTGATCAGTTTTGATCCTAATGAAGAAGAGAGGGCCTAGAAAAGTAAAAAAACAAACAAAAAAAACAAAAAAAAAACAACAGGGAAAAACAAAATGATTTGTTTTCTGTCTTCATGCGCATACATATCCCAACTCATTCATCCAAAAGAAGAGTCATTTATTCCCAAAGAAAACACAATTTATTGGACAGACCAAGATTAAACCAACATCTAGGGACAAGAATATGCATTATCTCAAGATAGCTGGAAAATAACGAAAGGTTAATCTTTCCTTCTCATAGAATTTTAGCCTTTGAAAACCAGCTCCATGACTCATTTTTCCCAGCTCATAGTTATCGCTACTGATAAAATATGTAGGTACTCAAAAAAGCATGAACACACAGTATGGATGGGGAACATGATCGCCAGCTCAGTTAAATTATTTCTCTCAAAAACTGTTGAATTCTGTAATACTATATATTTCTCTCCAAAAGTTCCAATGATGGCTGGGTGATAATTTGTTGTGGCTCAAATTCTTTATAACTATATGAAAAGGAGGAGAGGAAGTAATTATGATATTTCTAATTATGGGATAGTTAATACTGTCTGTGAACACCTTGTTGATACTGGAAACTCGATTTTCCCAATTGAATGCATACAAATTTATTTTTCCTCTTGGTGTTCAGTTTCAATTAATTACATCCCAATTCATATGGTTAACTCCTTTAACGATGTAGTATTTATTCCAAAAATCTCTCTGTCATCCTTTTCCTTCAATTCTCACTTCTTTGCAAAATTTAGATATACGTCATTTCTTATCATGGCTAATAAACTGTTTTTTATCTACAATTTCTTCCCCACTTTCGCTCTCATCCTCTTCAGAGCCAGATTAAGACATGGATCTAACCATGTTATGCTACAGTTTAAGCATCTTCTATGATTCCACGATGACCACAGAACAGATGAAATTTTGGGGGTGCAAATGTCCTGAAAAGATTCACTTCTTTTATAGTTTTATTTCTCATCAACTCTTTAAATCCTTTCCCAGTTCAAACATACACTTCAGGGACAATGAAAAGCTTTGCTCACACTGGGTGTCCTACTGTTTCCTGTAATTATAAGGAATATAATGTTCCTTTGTTGTTTTTTCAAATAGTTACATCCAAATGGAATTTTTTGTTTAGCGTACTTGAGCATCATTGATTCATCCTTCAAAGAATTACATGCTTCATTCCAGTCATACTCGACCTGCAGCTCAGTACAATTATTTATGACATCATAACACGATATCACTTGTGTATCTTTTCTTTTTGTCTTATGCCCAAAATCTGGATCTAGATCCCAAATTCTCGTTTATCTTTATATATTTTATTTCCCAGCCCATAGAAAATCGTTAATGTTAAGTGAGTAAACTGATGAGCACTTAATCAATGATGAAGACATTTCTGTATTATGTTAACTATATAATGATTTGAACAAAAACACAGAGAAAAAAGACTAAGGATAGCAAAGACGTTTAAACTGCCTATGATGTTAAAACAAAGGTTCTGTTTGTAACGGTAAATCAGTTTGATAATGGGACACAGAGAGTGGAAAAGCTGAAGTGCTATGTAAATACTGGAATCAGTATTAAACAGACTACGATGAGCCAGGAACGCCCAGGAGAGCTCAGCACCAGCTCCTCCTCTTTCTGTTGCTGGATGTTTGGGTTCAGCATTGAGCTCACAACTTATTTCATTCACAAGCACTGACCTGTCACAGCAAATCCAAATCAAAGTGATGACTGTGGAAATGGCCTTGGAGACCGGCACATCTTGCTAGCTTTTCCTCTCCAGAGTCTTTCCCAAAAGACCCAAGTTATCTAATTTGCTTCCTTTCTCAAACTGAAACAAATTTTTTCTTTCCTCTCCACTCCTTTCCACTGCTTTCCTCTCTCTCTTCCTCTCCTCTCCTTTTTCCTCATGCTTCCATTCTCCTCTTTTCCCTCCCCTCCTCTCTCTCCTCTCTCTTCTCCTTTTCTATACGTCTGAAATAAGAACATTGGGGAAAAAGGGGAAATAAAGCCTTCCTATTAAGTTAGAATGATTTTACGTACAAAGAGGTTCCTGTTTTGGCTCTGCTGCCACCTGAACAAGCTCAGTCACTGAAATTATGACACTGAGCAAATTCAGTAGATATTCTTACCACATTTTTAAATTGCAGACTTTAGATGTTGGACATATGATCATTTTCACAGGGTTTGAGAATCCTTAATCCCTTGGTCTTTTTCCAGTACTGAGCTGAACCAGCTTGATCTGATGGGTCTTCATTCCAGGGTAGTCCTACTGTCCTAGACCTTAGCTTTGCTGTAAAATTCACATCACACTTACTCGAGTCCTTTCAGTTGGCAGGTGACATGACTTCGGACCTTCTCACCGCCATTGGCTCAGTGACTTCAGTCCTGCTACTCATCCTCTTGCTGGCTGTGATTGCTTCTATTGCTGCCTCCAACAAGAGGGCAACTCAGGGAACCTACAACCCCAGCCTTCAGGAAAAGGAGGGTGCTCGAGTGGAAATGTGGAGCGTGACGCCGCCCCCCACGATGGAGAGGCTGATCTAAGGACTGCTGACTCTCTGAGAAAGGGATCTCCAGGCAGTGAAAGTGATGCTTGCATAGTAGGGATTGTGACACACACCTAGATGCATTAGTTTACACCTGGGGTTACACTGGAACTGGGGGAAAGGTTTCTTTTACCACCGGAAAGATTTTCATATGGTTCACAATGGTCCATTTTGATGCCATTGGTTTATTATATTAGTCACGACAACACAGTGGTTCTGTGCTGTTACTTTCAACTTCCTAATTAGCAAACACATCTTTCAGAGAGCAGGATCTTTTATAAAAATCTCCACTGGTTGTTTCTTAAGTTCTTTCCTCTTTGCAACCTGGAAACTTTATTTTGTTTGCCCCCTAGAGGGCAACTATTTTAAGCACAGAAGCGAAGGGATTTGGGGATAAACTTTTCACTCCTTTGATCATATGGTGAAAGATTTTAGTTCTATGCTGTGATGAAAGATATACTTTTGTTTTCCAAAAATCATGGATTCGAAAAAACCCATGGAAATGACTTTTGTTTTAAAAAGTGACCAAAATATGACAAATAAAAATTGAGATGTGGTTGTCCACTTTTCTTTCTTTCTTTCGTAGCCTTATGTGACATTGTATGTGACCAAAGTAATGCCAGAGAATGAATTTCCCTTTGAATTGTATCATTTAACTGATTACATTGTGTCATTAATCTTTATAAACTATGCTACCTTCTTCACAGAAATCACAATAGAAAGAAAATTTAAATTATCAAGTATTAAAGATCAAGCTCTTTTCTTTCAACTCATTTTTGATAAATCAGTGTCAAACAATGACATTACCTGAAGGCAAGCATCCAAAAGTGAGATGTACACACTTTAAGGTATGTGTGCAAGACTATAGGGTACAGAGAAGAAATACCAGGCCTTCTATGGGTCTGATAGCATAACAGGAATGTGTGCACACATTTTTGAATATATGCTTAAAATTTTTAATAGTACCAGTTTCTAAATCTGGTCTAGAAAAACTCATCCTTCCCAATCACTGAAGGACACTATTTCAGCAAACTGTCCTCTCTCACACACTGTCCGAACCACGCTCCTTAGCACCAAACATGCGGTCACATTTTCTTTCACAGGGAATCTTCTACCATGACCTATTCCCAACCTCCCTAGTCAGGAGAGTACCTGTAACAGACTTGTCCACTTGGACGTTCTTCTTTCTCTTTCCTCATCCCTTCTTTAACTAATTTACCTTTTCTTTCCACCTCTCAGTGACTTCTCAACTTGCCAAACACAATAACCAGCCCTCAACCCCCTTTTCCGTGATTTCAGGAGAGTTCGAAACAATTGTCCACTCAGTCTCTCTGTTTTCTCCCATCTTCCAGAACTCTGTTTTATTTTCTTTTCTGTATTGTTTACTACCAATTAAGACTATGTATGTACAGCCTCTGTTTTCTGTTTCACTAATCTAGAATTTAAGTTATACAAGGGAAAGAACTTCACAGGAAAAGGAAAAATGCAAGTAACTGAGTTTTAAAAATTACAAACTTAATAAGAGAGAGTAACTTGGCCCCATTGGTATTAACACAGGAAGAAAGGTTTTTCCAATGATAACAACATAAAATGTAGAAAAGATGTTTTGTTAATGTCCTTCACCTAGAGCAGATTAATCTATAGTGAAAACATAATAATATTTCTTGTATAAATTAACAAACTGTGAGGGAAGGTTCAAGTTTGCACCTGCCACCAGCAATATACCCAAGATGTATGTGTTTTATAACTAGATGCTCTAGCATCATGGTTCTGTGGTTATCTAGTGTATTGATCTCTGTTTTTCCCTCAACATTAAACAATGCCTTCAGTATGAGTTCAAGAAGACAGATGTGTCTGGCTGCCCAGAAATGAACTGTGCCATGAGACATATTTTATTTTTGCATCACATTACAATTATAACTTCTAAACAGAGGTTTAAGTGGAAAGGGCAAAAAGCATTCTTCCTAAAAGAAAAAGTACAAGTAACTGAGTTAAAACATACAAACAAAAATTACAGAATGTAAATTCATCCTATTGGTATTAACATAGGTAGGAAGAAAGAAGTAACTCCAATGTTGATATCATAAAGTTGAAAACATGTGTAATTAACCTGGTTATTAGTCCTTGTTCAGTACTTAGTTTATGCCTTTGCATAGGAATAAATGTACATATGTATGTATAGAAAATTTGTGAGTTATGAGTAAGTGAATGATTCCATATGGCTACTTCAAACACAAGATGCACTGGTGAGCCAATTTTTTGTATCTTTGGACAAGCAAAATATTCAACATCTTTATGCCAGAAATGCTTCCAAGTTACCCCTCTGGAGGACCACATTGAATGATCTTTTACAGGTGGACCTCACTTTAAGTAGGACAGTCCAGCATCTGCATCACAAACGGTACACCTTTAGGACCAGATGTATTCTGCAATTCATGTTAGGATTGGTTTTGAAGATAAACACAGCAATTCTTGTGTCATTTGCAAATTAGATGGTAGGTGGAGTCTGTCAACCTTTGTCTTGAATCACTTGCTGGTGGCTGCGTTGGGTCCACAGAAGACCACAGATACGAAGCTGTGAAGTTTCAGGTCAGGCCCTGGATACTTACCGTCTGTTTGGCCTCTCTTGAAAAGTGGCCTGGAGACCCCCACCTTTCGAGGGAGCCTGGGTGAAAACACCAGGTGGAGAGAGAGTTCTGGCCATGCCTGCGGTGCAAAGCCTGGTGTTGGATGCAGGTGCACAGTGACCCACCTGCCACAAGAAATGGAATACTCTATTACTACACAGACTTTGGAGAAATAAGCAAGCTGTGTTGTGAGCTGCTAAGGTTAGTTATACAGGGAATGGACCAAACCATTCACATCCATGGGGCAATCTAAGACAATATAAAATAGTCTGTATTGTTTTTTATTCTTTACTGTTCATCTTCCTACTAACTATAATTAGTACACTATTAATAAAATATCACAAATACATGCTTTATTTCTCTCTGGGGCTATTAGATTCAAACGCAGACCTGGGGGTCCGATGTAAAGTGGACACAGCTGGCCTATATCCTGCCCACAGGACAGTCCTGGCCCAGAGCAGCCCATGGGAAAGGCACATCTGGCGTGCAGTAGAAGGCATGACAGAAAGGCTCCTTCACGTGGCCTCACACGTGGCTTCTGTGGCCACAGCAAGTGCAGAATCAGGAAATGGCAAATGACTGTAACTTAAATCACCTGTCAGCCTGGCCCCTGTTTTGCTTCTTCATACATACTACTGTTTGACAAATCCTCTTACCTCCGAGATGGAGGGAGGGACGGTCCCGCAGCCTGACCCTGTGTAGCCAGAGTGATTACTATTACCAGTTAGCATTAGAGGCAGTAAAGAGTGATAGTCACAGTGTGGAGAGGCAGAGCTAGGAGACATTACAGTGATTACAGAATAAAACGAGGCCTCCTTTGCACACCTTGAGCTATAGGGCTAGAACTATATCAACAAAGCTTGCTATACCTCATATGTTATGTCTCATTTAAACCTTCAACATCCCTTTGAAAGAGGAACTTTGATCATTTGAGGAGGCTTTGAAGACAAACTCCTTTAAATTTCTGATCTGCTCCATCAAGGTGACCTGAGCTCATCTGAAAAATGGCCGTCATACCTCTCACAGGCATATTTTGATAATTAATCATTTAAACTCTTTAATTGCACCTGTTATTATTCATATAAAATGGAGTGTTAGTAGGACAAGTGAGAAGCAATAACATTTTAATTGATTCCACACTCCTTTTCTCTCAGTCTTCTTTCCTATGCATCTTATTATGGGTCTGCAAAATAAGCAGGCTTTATGCAGAGAAAGATTTCCTTTTATGTCACCTTCAGATCCCCCCCATAGCAGTCCCACTGATTAATGCACTTTATCTGTAAAACTGAAATATGTATATACACATCGCTTCAGTGTTCTCAATAAAATTGCCAGAAAATAAATAGAAAGGTCTCAGATTTCTCAGATTCCCCCAAACAACTGACCATAGAGATTTAAAAAAAAAAAAAAAAAAAAAAAAACTTCACTTGATAGAAATCTTACTCTTCCTCCTCTTTCTCCTCCTCTTCTTATTGCTTTTGTTTTTTATTATTTGGTTCTGCCTTTTGTGATTACTCTTCAAACTCTTTTGACACAACCATGTACTATCATCATCAACAAGAAAGATTGACCCATGAATCTTGGTTTAAATTATCCTTCTAATGATGATTAACTTTCACCTGGTTGTATGCTTTGTAGAAATATGATTCAAACCATGAAGTTGTCCTTAATTCTGGAGTGAATATGACTTTTCAAATTTCAACCTACTTCCAACAAATGTGAAATTTTTACTGCTTTGCATTGCATTGAACAGTGATGACAAAAGTGCATGTTTCCAATTTAAACCCATACTTCTGTGATTTAGTACCCAGCCTTTTTGCTTTATGTGGTTCCCAAAACCTGGAAACAACATCAAATATATTTGACTGCGCCTGCTTGAAGACGGCTGCTTTAAAAACCAGTCACAGGGTTTCCTAATATGCTGGGCAAGAATCTTTCTTTGAAAATTGCTCCCAAATCCCCATCTTCAGCTCTAAATGGAGCATGTTTTTTTGGTGTTCATGGTTTGCAACTTGTGGCTTTTGCCTTGAAACTGGAGGTTATTCATGGCTAAATAAGGCAAACCCTGAATGGAAACCAGTGTGTTATTAGTGTTTTAGGACTCTGCTTCCCTTAAGTCCTTCACAGCATAGATCTGTATACATCATGAGACAACTCATTCAGAAACATGATCAAATCTACCTTCATAAAGTTATAAAAGCCGTGTATCTTTGGGGCAGGTGCTTCACAAGATAAGTTCAGTTTAACTTTCTGATATCAGAAAACTTACTTTATAATGTCAATTCTATTTTCTAATACTTGTTTTACAAAGAATTTGCTCCATATTTGAATTATTAGGGGTTTTATTTTTTCAGAAATATGACTAGAAATTGTCAAGATTAGATTTAATTTAAAAAATTTTTATGAAGGAAAATCCAATTAAGGGTAACTTAATCTTGATTAAAGGTTAAATGCTTATTAAAAGGTTTGTCTTACTTGGTTTGTGAAATTGTTCATTTCTTAGATAAAGAATATAAACATCTTCACACAAATTCAAGTTCAAAATTTCCTGGAAACACTTGTTATGTTTCCAAATCATAGGTGTTTATGTTTCTGATAGGCAGAAGAGAAGCTAGAGACACCTCTTCATTGGTGATTCAAACACGACGTGGGTTTCAATTCAAAATTCCTCTAGTTCATGTACTGATTTAATTAAGGAAATCTGAAGTAACTACTTAAGCGTCTCCATTTGAAGAGGGGAAAAGATAATCAAGTTCATAATTATGTGCTGCTCATCTGAAGCATATAATGACCTGAATCAACGATAAATGGGGACTTAAATTATGGTAGCTTAGCACTTATTAACATGGTAGAGTGAAATCCTGTGTCATAAGAAAAAACATGAAGGGGGCTGGGGATTTAGCTCAGCGGCATAAGCACCTGCCTTGCAAGCAGGCA